CCCCAAACATCAAGCAAAGTGGCGAGAACATCGCACGCCGCCAGCTCCCCATCAGCATCGCGCCGCCAGGCCGGCACTGCCTGGCCGTGGGCAGCGGATCGTGGGAGGCTGGGGCCGCGCTGAGAAGCCCTCACTGCGATTAGCATGGGCACTGTAGCGATGGGAGGCACTGCTTGCGATTGCCCCACACCATGGGGCCACGCCCTATAGCAGGGGGGCCTGAAATGCAACTGCCCGCACCTTAACTGCTGGATGGCAAGACGCGCAACCGCTGCCAGCCGCGCGCAAGCGCCCGCCCCCGACCCCCGACCCCCCCCCCCCCCTTCCATCACCCCGTCTCAACCCCCACCTCATCCACGCGGCAGCATGGGCTGGAGCACTGGCACGAGGATAGAGCAAGTGGAAAGTTAGAGAGGACTGGCATCTGCGAAGGTCTGCGCGGCTAGACGGGGCCACCCCCAGGAAAGGAAGGCGCAAGAAGGCGCGAGCGTCAAGCGCTGGAGCTGCGGGAGGTAGATAGCGCACCTGTTGCGGCCCGCCAGCAAGCAGCAACGCCGGGGCAGAAGCGGGGGAGGGGGAGACAATGGGGGGGGGAGCGCCGAAGAAGACGGGCGTCGAAGTCCCATGCGTCCGCGCGCGCACACACCGGATCTCGGCCCCCGTCAGCCACCGGCGGGGCGCTGCCCCCTGGAGGTGGGAGAGGAGAGACTTTCGGCGGCGAAAGAAGTAACAAAGACGATCGACCGAACGGCGGACGCCACGGCGAAAGCAGGAGGAACCTCGGCAACAAAATACTAAGGAGAGGGCAGGAGGGAACGCCGTCAGCAATCCTCGTCCTGCGGCGATTGAAATTCCGGCGAATGCCGCGGAGGACGCAGCGAGGCCGCATGCCCTGCAGCCCCGGCCGCGGCGCTGCCCCTTTTCGGTAACCAGTCAGGACTGGTGTATACGTCATGCACTGCTACCCCCAATAATCGCCGCCGCCCGCTTGTAGCGTTGGGAACATCAGCTCGATGATTGTGGAACCTTGTATTCGGGGACTGGGAACTTAGGCTCGGGCATGGCGGGCACTGCCACGGTGGTGAACATTTCTGTCGTGGACCTGCTGGGCGCAGGTTGCACTGTCGTACTTATGACTTCACATGCCGCGTTGCAGCGGGCGGCTGCGCATGATCTCGATGCAGACCAAAGACCTTTCGTCGCTGCCATCGTGGACGCAGCGGCGTTCAGGGTGTTCCGCGCGCACAGACACTGGAGTGGATCCCGCCTGTCCGTCTTGGAACTGCGTCAAAGGCGCCTGTGATGAACGGTGAATCTGATGCGCGGCAAACGTCTGAGGCGCTCGCTCTGGCGCCGGCATGTCACGCAGCCAACGAAAAGCCACTGCGGCTTCTGGCGGTGAGCTAACGGCGGGGACCACGAGGCTAGTCGGCGGTGGGTGAATTTGGCTTCTGATCCAATGTACGGCGCTGAACTGCTAAGTCGCAGGTAGGTCGGTCGTTGGCGCTGGCTGGTTCGGCGTGCCGGCGTCAGCGGTGTCGTCGCGGAAAGTAGAGCTTCCTGGCAACTGTGGAATGATGCGGTCGTCGCACGGCGCTCACGTTGGGCTGCATAGCTGCTGTTGTAGTCGTGCCGCGACGTAATTTCGCGGACATGGCATGAGCACGGCCCTTGTGAGACCGCGAGCGTGGCCTGCGCAGCGATGTCGTGCATCCTTGCAGCTGGATCTCGCATTAGAAAAACGAGGTGTCTTTTGGCGATGTTGACTGCCGTCCTGAAGTCCTCATCGAGTCCGTAGCGGCGCGCCCAGCCCCCCGCGCAGTTCCCCAATGGAACCCGCGGGGCGGGCGCGACCGCCATGGAGGCAGATGAGCGCGCGCCAGCGTTGCGTCGCTGAGCTCCAGGTATCTGGCCTGCTCGATCGGCGGCATCCCGAACGTGGAGAGCGGGATCGCACACGGATCGAACCTCGGTGGCGGGCGGGGAAGGGTTTGTCGGAGATCGTCATGAAAGGAGGATTCTGCGTTGCGCATGTCAAAACACCCGTGCCAACGAAGTGATAATAGGTGGTATTCTGGGAACCAGCTGGCGCAAGCGTTGATTACCGCGCCGTAGTAGACTGCGGAATGCCAGCTGTCCTCGTCGCAGTCACCAGTTCATCACTTCTGCGGTTGGCACTGGATGCTGTCGAGCCTGCCAGAAAGCGCATGTCGCAGCTCTCGCCCAGCGGTAATGATGTGAAAAAGAAGGTCACGGGAGTGCACATGTAGTCGCCCCCGTTGTCGGCGTCGCTCTCCTCTCCTTCTGAGTCGCCAAATTGCCGCGCGCATTGCTGCGCCGTTGCCTTCGTCGCCAGGGGTCGCGGACGGTGGTGGGCCGTCGCGTTCGAGCCGGAGGCGCGAGCGGCGTTGGCGTCTCGGCAGTGGGCAGCGCTGCAGGCGCATGAGCAGGCGGCGGTGGTGGCCTGGTTTGTCGGCGGTCTCTGTCGGGCCTGATGTCGGGCAGCGGCGCGCGTTGCTGAGGCGGGCTAAGTAGCGCACGGCCAGAGCAGCATGTGCGAAGCCTGTCTGCGTGGTCGTCTTCTACCTTCTCCAGTTCCATGTGTTCGAGCTGCTCTTGAGTCCGTTCGTGGCGCGGGCGGTCGGCGCCGACGTCGGTCGGCAATTTGGGCATCGTCGTCCGCATGCGTCTCGGCGGACTCAATGCGAAGCTGGCGCGGCGCGGGCGAGGCGTTTGCATTGTCGGCGAGGGCGAGGTTGCGTCGCTGATCCTGGTCATTGATCGCACATGCGCGCGGACGCAGGTCTGTCACTGGCATGGCCCAAAATCCATCGATGAGCTGCGGTCAGGCTGGGTTGTCAGACGTTGGCGGGGGAGCTCGCGGCGCATTGGAGGCGGTCGAGGATGCCGCGGTGCCAATGGCAGTGACCCCCTTTTTACCGCACCTGTCCATTGTTGAGCAAGTCCGCGGCGTAGATAGCTCGACGTAGTCGGGTTGCTCGTAGATTGTCAGCGGTGCGATGAGTCGGCGCGACATGTCAACAACTGATGTAGCCCACGGCGGGCGCAGCGCCGCTGCACCTGATGCATGAAGTACGTCGGCCAGTTGGTTGGTGAGCGAGAGTAGCTCGGACCCTGTGGCGGTCTTGTTCGCGTTGGCCACGGTGGATTGGTCCTGGCGTGGGCCACGTTGTTTTCGTCTACGAGGAACTCGCAGAGATTCTCGTGCTGTCGGTAATACAGTTTGTAGAGCGTCGACTCAAAGTCCTTCTCTGTACCATCCTTGTTCATGGGGTTGTTTCATATGTACCTTTGTCGTGGTCGGTGTCGCCGTTGATCTTGTCCCACGATTGGTCGACGATGACTTCTCGGCGCATTTCGTGGTCGATCGTGTCTTTGTGTATGAAAGGTTGTCCGTTTTGCCGGTGGTCAGCTCGGCAGTAAACTAGAATTCCACGAGGCCTCTTTGTCCACTGACTGTAGATGCTTGCTTGGGAGCGCACGTCCTTACAAGTCTGTAGCACAGTGCCCAGGTCGAGTCTTCAGTAGCTGAAAAAATCTGGATAACGTCGGGCAATTAGGCCAGTGTGATATTGGTAACGTGGACAATGTGTGCAGGTTTTCGCTTAGTGGGGGCTGGTATGTACTCATACCCGGAACACAATGATAGGTACGCGAAGAACTCGTCCACATTGGCGTTGACGTCGAACCGTTTGGTGTGCTATAATTGTGCCCTGACCGTAGTAGCTGAGCTTGGGTCGTGTTGGTCTGGAGCTGCTGTTCGTTCAGGTAGTTGGAAGGCCTGTCGTCCTCGTAGATTGAACAGTGGTGGAAGGTTTTCGTTGCCGTCGCCCTCGCAGTGGTTGAAGATTGTACGGTATTGCTGATCAAATTGCAGCGTCCGTTCTCCAGAGAATTGTCGGCGACCCTTTTCTAGTGTAAGAAATATAAGTCTCCATCGCTGGTGCGTCAATTCTTTCCGTATGCACGGTAGATGTGTCATACGATGTGGCCTGATAGGGAATGTAGTAGGTCCTTATGCAAGGCAAGTAAAATATGAAAGGCGCCGACGAACGGCGCAATTAATGGCACCGCTTGGCTTGAGCCTAGGTGCTGCGGCGTGGTGGGTCGCTAGTAAATATCGGTGAGTTGCAGATTGCCCGATAGGCAGTGTGAAGATGAGATCGATATGGTTTGTATATAGTGGCGATCGTTGGTGTGACATCCGTATTGGGAAATAGTTTCAGGCTGCTGTATAGTGAAAATGCCCGTGCTGCTTCTCCCTGAGGAATGCCTTGTAAGCTCCCATGTTCCACCCTTCTCTTCCTCCGCCTCCTCCACCCCTCTTTCTTCTAAACAGCTCCTCTCTGTCCCACCTCCTGACGTGTCGGTAGGGCGGGCTGGGCGTGTCGCGTGATACTTCCCCATCATCTATGACCTTGAAGCTTGTAATTAACAGCAGTTTCAAAACGTGGCTCTCGCCTTAGCGCCGCGCGAATTTGTCTTAGAACTGTAGAACGGCTTCGCGGAATCCTAGGGTTGAAGTTCCAGGAATGTTCTGGCACGCGCTGGGATTGTCAGGACACAACAGTCACGTTGACTCACGGCGTTGATGTCCCAGGAGCGGTGTGTTGGCACGATTGGGCACTCTCAAACGATCTTCATATGGGGCACTTCCCGCAATGAAAACAAGTCCTTGCAGGGACCTTTGAAGAGGGAACCCGGGGGGTATTGCAAATATGTTGATACGTCTTGGGTTTACTCTGGCGCTCCTCCTCCGACACCTCCTCCTGCTCCTCCTCCTCCTCCTCCTCGTGCTCCTCCTCCTCCTCTTGCTCCTCCTCCTCCTCCTCCTCCTACTCCTCCTGCTCCTCCTCCTCCTCCTCCTTCTCCTCCTGCTCCTCCTCCTCCTACTCCTAGTCCTCTTCCTCCCCATCTGTTCCCTCCTCCCGCCTCGACCGTTCTTACCTGGTTCCCCCTCTCCTCCCCAGGAGGACGGCCATTCCTTAGCTCGTTGATCGAGATCTCGCCGCTGCCGTCGACGTCGTACTCCCGGAAGATCGCCTTCATCTTGCGTCGCTCCTCGAGGCAGCGGCGCCACAGCGCCGGGAGGCAACCATCATCATCCGCAGAACTGTCGCGATCATCACCCACAACACACACACACAACACACACACACACACACACACACTTCGAGCGTCAGCAGACTACCTTACACACGCACATCACACATACACACCACACAGGGCATGCCCTCGATAGCATCCCCCATGCTCAGGCTACGAGTTGGGGTTATCCCCATGAAAACGGTGTTTCGCTACACACTGATCCTTCAGCCCCGATCGTATGGCGGTCCGCCCGCTGGCAGACATCGAAACTTGGTCAAGAACCTCCTCCTCCTCCTCATCCTCCTTCTCCTCCTCCTCCCTGTCCTCTCCAATCTCCAGTCATCCTCCACCCCGTTCCCCTCCTGCCCCTTCTGCTGCTCCAACTCCGCCTCGTCGACCAACTCGGGGATCTTCTGACCCGGGTCAATCCAGACCTGGGTCAGTCAGGCCTTGCAGAATCCCGCACCCAAAACCGGGTCAATGCGAAGGATCCTGCAAGATCCTGCAGGATCCTGCACCCAAACCCGGGTCAGTGCGACCCTGGCCCTGCAGGATCCTGCAAGATCGGACGCTCTGGCTGACCCCCGCTTGCATTGACCCCTCTCTCAAGGCTCCCGACCACCACATCCATGCTAACATCCGGCTCCTCGTCTCCGTCAACGTCCTTGCGTTCCCCCTCCCTGCTTCTTGCGTCCGCCTCCGCTTCCTCCTCCTCCTCCTCCTCCTCCTCCTCCTCCTCCTCCTCCTCCTCCTCCTCCTCCTCCCTCCTCCTCCTCCTGCTCCTCCTCCCTCCCTTCCCTCCTCCTCCTTCCTCCTCATTCTCCCCCTCCTCCTCCTCTCTCCTCCTCCTCCTCCTCCTCCTCCCCTCCTCCTCCTCCTCCTCCTCCTCCTCCCCCCTCCTCCCCCTCCTCCTCCTCCTCCTCCCTCCTCCTCCTCCTCCTCCTCACCTCCCTCCTCCTCCTCCTCCTCCTCCTCCTCCTCCTCCCTCCTCCTCCTCCCCCCTCCTCCCCTCCTCCCCTCCTCCTCCTCCTCCTCCTCCTCCTCCTCCTCCTCCCTCCTCCTCCTCCTCCTCCTCCTCCTCCTCCTCCTCCTCCTCCTCCCCTCCTCCCCCTCCTCCTCCTCCTCCTCCTCCTCCCTCCTCCTCCTCCTCCTCCTCCTCCTCCTCCGCCTCCTCCTCCTCCTCTCCTCCTCCTCCTCCTCCTCCTCCTCCTCCTCCTCCTCCTCCTCCTCCTCCTCCCGTGCTCATCCCCTCACGATCGCCGCACTCAAGCACGTTGGAGCCGCCGGCCCGCCGCTCTCCGGCTCCAGCGCGGCCCGCGGTGGCAGCGCAGAGGCCAAGCGCCCAGCACGCCCCGAGAAGCGCCCGGCCGCCGCCCTCGCCGCCGTCGACAACTTTGGACGCCCGATATTGTGGGAGGCACATGGACATACTAGTACTATATGTCCTCCTTGGAGAAGCGCGTCCGACCCGAACATTTAGTATACCCATCTTGTAGCATATCGTTTCCCGAGCGGTGTGGCCAGAAAGCGCCCGCCACGACGCATATACTATAAGATTTCTCGGTGCGCGCGTCGCCCCTGGGGGGGCGACGCACATATAGTATAAGTATGTTGGGGTGTTGCCGATATTGGGACGGAAACAATGGGCACAATGCCCAACAGCAAATGTTGTCCCGAACCATCAGCGGCCGCTGTTGGGCAGGCGGTTCTGTCTCACACAGACACAGGCCGCGGCGGCGTGGACAGCGAGTCCTGTTCAAAGTGAACAAAATCCGCTGTCGGGCATTGTGCCCAATCTTTCCGTGCCCATGTCGTTCGTGCAGAATAACCGTCGCTGTTCGTCGTCGATCGCCGCCGCCACCGCCGCTGCCCTCCTCTAGGGGAACGACGAACGATATAAGCATAAAAACTCAGAGGCCCGCGCGGATTTCTCGGACCAGCGCTGGACCTCCCTCCCTGGCGCGCGGCATGCGCCAGGGGCGGCGCCGGAGGCGCCGCCAGCGGGGTCCAGCGCGGATCCGAGAAATCCGCGCGGCCCTCCGGGTTTTGATGTTTATGTCATTGTTCGTTCCCCTTATCCTCCTCCGCCATCGCCGCCTCCGTATGAGCGCCACCCGACTGGGGCTGGAGCGAGAGTAGACGAGCGCGTTCCACTATACGCGCAAAGTAACTACGCGCAAATGCGCCAGATCCGCCGTATGGGATATACGATGCATTCCATATAGGAAGACCTGTCTGTTTCGGACGTTTGCCAGTAGGCACTTTGCGAGTAGCGGAACGCGCTCGGTGAAAAAATAGGTATTCTTTCGAACTTTTGCGACAGCGGTCGTTACCGGCCTTGGCCGCCCTCCCACCCAAGTAACGTCGCCATTCGTGCTGACGTCCGAACTGTCTTTAGCTGCTCTTGGACATTCCCAAAGACGGCGCCGGCACGAAACGTGAGGTTCCTGCCCCCCCTCCTCCCCCTGGTAACGCCCGCTATCGCCCAGGAATTGGCAAGGCACTCTCCAGGTGGAGCCGCAGGACCGCACCGCACCGCCAGTGCGTCGGCTGCGCGGTCGTCCATCGCCGCCGTCGTCTTCGTCGCCGTCCGTCGCCTGTCGAGCACGCCGCCGTCGTCGTTCGTCGGTCCCCGCTGCCGCCGCCGCTGCCCTCCTCCGCCGTCGCCGCCGTCGCATGAAGGCCGCCCGACCGGGACTGGAGCAGGGGATCGTTGCTCCATTCTTCCGCGATAGCGGCCGTTACCGGCCTCGGCCGCCCCCCCCCCCAGGGTATCGTGACGATTCGTGCTGACGTCCGAACTGTCTTTGGTTGGTCCTGGACATTCCCGAAGACGGCGCCGGCGCGAAACGCAAGGTTACCCCCGCGTCCCCCCTGGTAACGTCCGCTATCGCCCAGGTATCTTTATATATATATATATGTAGAAACATCAAACAAACAAGCAGAAAAACAAACAAACAAGTTAACTTACGAACAAACTAATTAACTCACTGACTAACAAACAAGCAAACAAAAACGGTCTCCAGGTAGGGCCGCAGGACCGCACCGCACCGCCGATGGCGCCGGCGACGCGTCGTCGATCGCCGCCGCCACCGTCGTCGTCCGTCGCCGTCGAGCACGCCAGTGGCTCCCGATGTGGCCCGCCGCGAGCGTCAGGTCGAGCATGTCCCCCTACAGGCGGATTTTGGACAAACGCTATAAAAACAAATAGTCAGAAAACTGCTCGAAAATACAAAACAAAAATGTCAAAAAATCGTCCCCAGACTATTTTTCTACTACTTTCGAATGTTCCCCGTAGAGGGGCAGGCCCGATTTCACGCGAGCGGCCGGTGGCGGAGGCAGGGGCCGCGCCCCGGGGGGGGGCTCCCACTTCTGGTACTTCACCATGAAGGTGTAGAACTCCTGAGCAGGGGGCGCTGGCCGGAGTCAGGGGCCGCCAGGGTCTGGGAGACGCAAGAGTTTGGAGGCCTGGAAATTGGCACCAACACCAGCACAGGAATTGCCTCCACATGGGGAAGATGATCCTAGAGTTCGGTGTTGGTGGTAATGTTTCGGTCACCCTGGAAGCCAGAATATTACCACCATCACCGATATCGGGATCGTCTTCCCTCGGTGGAGGCACACCGCCGATCTTGGTGTTGGTGTCAACCTCTGGGCCTGCGAAGAGTCTCGGGTCTGGGGGGGCTTTTGGGCTGGCCGGACGGGGCCATCATGAAAGTGGCGAGGCCCAGGCTGAAGTTTGACGCAAGCACCCGCTGCAGACGTCCCATGACAGGTGGACCGTCAAAAAATCCACGACGCGCTCGTCAGAAAGCGTCGGCGAACCCGAGTTCTGGCGCACTCGAGCAGTTTGGCGGCGCGCAGAGGGTGGCAGGAGGAGGAGGAGGAGGAGGAGGAGGAGGAGGAGTGAGGAAGGGGGAGGGGGGAAAGGCTTCTTAGAAGGAGGCTGCTTCTAAGAAGTCGCGGGCCCTACATCTATGCGCGAGGCCCGCGCCCTCTGAGAAGCAGCAGTGCTTCTAAGAAGCCTTCCCCCCTCCCCCCAGCTCCCTCTGTGCGTGGCCGAGCAGCGGGGCCAGCAAGAGACAGAGGCCGCCAGGGGCCAGCCAGAGTCGGGGGCGTCCAAGAGGGAGGCGTCCAAGAGGGGGGGGGCGCAAATCATGGCCGGCGGCATGTGCGCGGCCCAAAGGGGGCCAGGGACGTATTGAAATAAGAAGAGGCGCCACGAAATCTGGGGAGATATCGTGGCCCCCGCCATGGTATCCACCCCTCCCCCTAGTCATCACCCCTCTTGGTCGCCCCCGAACTCCAGTTCCTCCTTCCTTCGTCAACCCTCCTCCTGCCCGACCCCTTCCTTCAAAAGCCGGCCACTGGACCTGTCGATCGGCGCAGTCTGCCGGAAACTTCGACGCGGGCCCAGACGTGACGTCGAGGGCGCGCCGGGCGCCAGGGTGCCCGAAGAGGACCCCAAACATCGCGAAAGCCAAAAAACAGCATCGCGACTGAACAGCGCTGAAACCCCCACATCATGAAAGCCAAAACGCAAGAGGACCCCAAACATCATGAGAAAAATCGAAGCAAAGATCCGACTGAGCAGCGCCCCCTCTTTCCAAGCTCCTCGAAGTCGATGTGGACGTACTTCGTGACCTGTCAGGAGGCGCCGCGCGCACGGGAGACAGGGCGCCCTCGGCGCAGGCGAGATGGGCGGACGGCCTGAGGGAGGGCACTACTCGCACTCGCTGGACAACGTCATCGAAGACATGGGCGATCTGAGCCCCTGGAGACGGGTGTTGCTCTCCGCTGTGCTATCCACCCTCTTTGCTTCCGCGGATGCCGCCCAGCTCAAGAGAGGGGTACGCAGGCGAACGAGTCCTGCCATGGTGGCCCGTGCGTGGGGCAGCACGTGGGAGGAGGCCTCCGACGTCCAACGTGGCCTCAACAGCCCACTTTGCGAAATCGACCTGGCGACGATGCCAAGCTCTTCTGGCTGCCCTCGCTCGCCGCTCACCCAAAAAAACATGCTCAACGCAGACACGCCTGGCACCCTTCTTTCTCCGGCCCGAATCCGCCCGCGGCAGGACGGCTTCTGGAGACGTAGTGCGCCAAGCTCGCTGACGGCAGGACCAGAATCGAATCGATGAGTCGGATCTGCAATCGAAATGGATCGGCTCGGTAGAAATCGGCAGCCTTTTTAGTTTCCGGGCCCAGGACCGATGCTTGCTTTTGTTGATCGCTCATAGTCGAAGAACCCGCCACCCCGCACGGGGTAGTGAGTGGAAGCGACAGCAACATGGATGACCGAGTCGAGTCAGGAAACGTCGAACCGGCGGAAATCGGCAGGCTGGTAGGCCGCCATTGAGACATCGGAGCCCAAATCGGAATCCGAAATCGAATCGGATCGGAATCGGAAGCCATCGAAATCGAATCGGATCGAATCGGAAGAATCGAGATGGAATCACATCGGATCCATCGAACTCGGATCGAATCGGATCGAATCGGTTCACGGTAGCCTGCCTCCTCCTCCTCCTCCTCCTCCTCCTCCTCCTCCTCCTCCTCCTCCTCCTCCTCCTCCTCCTCCTCCTCCTCCTCCTCTACATCCATGACTGCCTGTCCCTCCTCGGCCCTGCGCCTGCCGCCGTAGCCCTCCACAGAGCAAGTCGCGGGCAGCGAGAAGACTCGTCAAGTCCAGCAGCCGAAGGGCGCGAATGCGAAAGCGCCGCCGATTTGGCAAATGACTTGGCCCAGTGCTTCCCTTTAGCCTGGTACCACTCCTCGCTGTAGGGAGTGAGGCTGTCCAATCTACATAGGATTTCACTTTACACACTGGCAGCTGCTCGCGCCATCTGGGTAAGATACCAATCCCAAGAAGCTCCACCTTGGCATAGAAGGCATATGACCAAAGACAGCCTCGGGAGCCTTTTCTGCAGTGCCCACTAGACCCTCAGAATCGGTGCGGATCTCGCCGGCACAAAGTGCATGCCTACACAGAACCAGGAAACCGACATGTTCCTCAACACGGCTGGTCTGAGGAAGGAGGCGAACTACTTTACCAGAGATCGAAGCATGCACTTCGCCAAAACCCACGATACAGAGGCACGCCCACCCAGAAAAATGGTGCACCCGATGCTCTTGTTTGAAACAAGACCCATCTCAGAAAATCATCTTCCCTTCATAGGCTCCAAAGACAGTAGCGCCACGATCCACGCAGTGGAACTCGTGCTGCTCATGCCCGAAACCGACAGGTGGACAACATGCGCTCTCCGGCTCAACTTGGCAGCCTAACATCAAGGGGCACTTACCGCCACCACTGATAAATACATCCTGAACGAGCTCCACAAGAAACTCATCTCGCAACGCCCTCGTGGAGGGGTAAAGGAACGATCGGCGGCGCAAATTATCAGAGACAGCACCGCAAAGTGGACAAGACAAATCAGGAATAGCGCACCCCATATGCACGAGACGCCACTTAGTGTACATGCACTGCAGAAGAAAAGCTTCCACCATTCACTTCTCGGCCGCACCCAAGGCGTCTAGATGACAGAAGGCCCCCACCAACAGACACGTCCACCCTTTCAACCTCCAGCCCGATTCTCTGGGCAGCCTTCTCAGAGAGCAGCCTCATCCAAACAGCCTTCAAGTCCGAGATCACTTTGGGGGAGGCGGCGGCGAAGTAGATTTCACCCCCGCGGTGAGTGGCCCTGACAACCACGGTCATGAAGGACCAGGGAACACGGGCCAGGGGCAGCACAGCAGCCCCCGAGGGCCCTGTGACCTGGCTCCAGGTCCTGAGCCCTCGACGAAGCTCCAGCTCAGCATGCTTACGCAGCCCAGCATGAGAAGGCCCAAAATATCTGGGCGCAGATGCCCCCCAAACTCAAGTGGCCCAAGTGAGAGCAGGCCCCGAGGCCCACTTCTGGGCGGTGTCATCATGAAGAAACAGAATCGAACTTCGGAAGCTGGACAAGCAAATCGAGAACCGACGGCAGGAAGAAAGATTAGGCAGAATACGCTTCCGTCGTATCCAACCCAACCACCTCCGCCCCGCAATAGCCATGACTCTATAGCTCACTGATGTAGAGTCGCTGCATGCTGGCACCTCCATTCCTGACAGTCGCTCAACGCCGCTTTCGCACTCGAAAGTCCCTGATCCGATTAGCGACGTGGACTCGGGCCCTCTTGCGACATCGAAGCTGCCCGGCTGTAGTGTAGATTTCAAGATTATCAGCGGGGCGCAAGTTGGAGGTGCCCGCGAACTTGCCCATCGCCTTCGCTAGGTCACTGCGAAGGGAGTTGGCCACAACGGCCGATTTCCTGGAGGTAGGCTGGCAGCCGAGATCTTCTTCGATTGGCTGGATGACCTCCATGGAACTGGTCACAGTTCTGTTAACCAATGCACGCCTATCAGGATCAATGCGCAGGTTCATCCAATCATCGATGAAAAGATAAAGATCAGACAGCCCATGGTTCTCAACAAAGGTCTTCACGGGGCCATCTGATACACCTGGACAGGGAAAGTCCCCCAGGGACACCCAGCAAGAACGGTTCTGCCTGGGAACAGTGATGCAAGGGCGTAGCCATTTATAATTAAGAACCTCTGCGAACGATACATGTTACAAGCAACCGTGAGACATTTCACATTGAAACCAGTGGCCTGCACACGCGTGCGGAGGAGCCTCAAACAAACATGATCGTAGTAGGATATCATGTTACAAGACCTCCGAAGCATGCATCACTCGATCCCGATACCTCGCCGATTCTATCTGCAGGAGCACTAGTTCCATACTCTGCAGGGCATGACTCCAAATCCTAAAGAAGGCCACCCAAATATTCTTGTGCAAGGCCTGCGCGAGGTCCTCCGGCTGCCTCGCCTCCGGGCCCCCGTGCTACACATGCTGAGTCCCTGGACTTCGAGGCAACCGCACTCCGCCATCGCCACGGAGCCATGTAGGACTTCCAAGAGAGCCTGATCTACTCATAGTAGGTCTTCAATGGGACGTGCACAATCCTAGGACCCCTGCCTCTTCTGGAGACCTGTGTCAGGGGCGTGTTGGTTGACGCATTTATCGTTTTCTCGAGGTCTGAGACAACGCTGGCGCACGCATGGTCCAAACCAGCCTGTCTTTGGCCATAAGATCCCAGACTCGATAAGCTCTTCTAGCCTGTGTACCTCCTCACCCGTCTGATCCCAGTCAGGGTTGGGTAGAGAGGGGCCGAGGGGCAGCACATGCGGCAGGCGCTGGCACTTACAAAGCACAGAACCAGTAGCTTCACAATTGACCGTAATATGCAGTGTTACACTTACAGCCCAGTGCGGCGCAACAGGATACACGCGATCAACTACAGTCCGCTGAAAAATACCTGTCAGCACCTTGGACAGCATGGAAAAAACAATAACACGCTTCGACTCTTCTTCATGCCAACAAGGGTATCAGAAACAACCAGCTCCACGCTAGCACGATGAAGGAACTCAGTCGCAGCAGTTCTCGACGGGAGCATGGTCCAATATCCCGCAATCACCACAGACAGCTTCACTGCTTGTTGCAAGCACACCATAGCAGAGAGAAGAGCCAAGTCCGTAGCATTAAACCCATTTGGACCTCCATAGAGATGGAAGCCGAGACCAGCGGAGGTGGCTCAAGGGTCTCAAGCCTTAAGACACATAGCCGGTGTCTGACGACAGATAGGTCATAATAACGAAAAACGCTCGCCCCAAAGTTGATGCCCATTATAATCAGGATCGCCAGACCATCTGAAGGCTTCCCAGACTCATGCCAACCACGCACTTCACACCATTCCGCAGCAGTTTGAATGGGCTCCTCGGACATGAAGAGGGTTTCTCGCAGGACAGGAATCAAAACCTGCGGGAAACAATGCAGACCAGACTCATGGACATAGTTACTTCTGAAATGTTTAGGGTAGTTATTTGTAAAGCCGACCCTCGGCTAACTCCCAGGAGCAAGAAGAATGCAGCGCTGCGTCGCCAGCGCCTGCTCCAGATAGCATCCTGGATGTACATCGGGACCTTGGTGGGGCCGTACTTAGTGAGGTATGTCCCTGGGTCTGGTTCCCTCCAGACGCGGTATTCCCAGCCGAGTCCTGCGGGCGACGAAAGCAGCAGGAACAGCAGCAGGAGGCCCTCGAACATGACGACCGCTCCTGCCCTTGTCCTCTCCTCCTCATCCTCGTTCTCTCCCTGGGACGTGCCAGGGACCTCCCTGATCCTCGGGGGGAGGTGCTTTCTTGAGGCGCCCCTTCAATAGCGCCAGGGCGGCCTCAAGCTCGGGGTCATCACCTTCTGAACTACCACCCTTGTCCAAGCGGAGGCGGAGGAAGGCGAGGTCAGGGTCCCAGTCGGGCGGGGGAGGCAAGGGAAACTCCTTCCGAAGCTCCTCCTGTGTACCCTCCCAGTCCTCGAGGTCCACAGGTACCGGCACCATCATTACGACTAGATATCCTCTGAAAATCACACAGAGATGGCGTTCAGTGGATGCGATGAGACCCGTGAGGGATGCATAGTCGACCGCATCGTCATCACCAAGGCCTCATGTTTGGCCTCAACGAAGGGTTCAACTTTATCAGGGCGTGCCCCAAATCGGCCGCGCCGTCCACGACGACGTCCATGTTCTGAACTTTCCTGTTCCCAATCGCGGCCACGCCCTGGGAACGGAGTTGACCAGTACTTACATGTCTCACGCGCATTGGACTGATAGATCCATGAGCCATGAGGCCTCCAGGCACTTCGGAGGTACTTTGGGCAGACCAAGTATGGCGGCATATGTAGATACAGCCGACCGCAGGGGGTTCTGCAAGCGGGTTTATCCAGCCACGAACACCAGTGAGCGTTACCGTGTGAAGGCCTGGAAGGGCGGCGGCCTTCGAGCAAGGCCCTCAGCTGCGTCAAAGCTCGAAGCGCAAGGCCGCGCGTTTCGAACCTGAGCCAAAATGGCGACGGGGGATGACAAGGAGGAGAAGGACGGGGAGGAGTGGGGGATCAGGAGCGCAGGATGCTGATCGCGCTTGGCACATGTTTGGCCACTTTAGGCCTCGGGAGGCCTCCTGAGACCTGCAGAAACCTCCTCCCCTTCTCTCCATCCTCCTCTCCCTCTCTAGATCATCAGCATCATCATCAGCAGCAGCAACAGCATCATCGTCATCATCACCACCAGCGTCCTTATCACTACACCAGCATCAGCATCAGCACCACCATCAGCATCAGCATCAGCATCAGCATCAGCATCAGCAGCATCATCCTCATCCTCATCATCATCCTCATCCTCATCTCATCCTCATCCTCATCCTCATCCTCATCCTCATCCTCATCATCAGCAGCAGCAGCAGCATCATCATCATCATCATCAGCAGCAGCATCATCATCAGCATCATCATCATCAGTATCAGCATCATCATCATCATCATCAGCATCATCATCATCATCATCAGCATCAACATCATCATCATCATCATCATCATCATCATCATCATCATCATCATCATCATCATCACATCATCATCAGCATTATCAGCATCATCATCAACATAATCGTCATCATCACTATCATCAGCAGCATCATCGGCAGCAGCGTCGTCATCACCATCATCATAATCATAATCAGCATTATCACCATTAGCAGCAGCACCAGCATCATCATCAGCATCAGTATCATCATCATCAACAGCATCATCAGTGTCAACAGCATCAACATCATCATGATCATCAGCATCATGATTATCATTACCATAATCGTCGTCATCGTAGTCGTCAATATCATCATGGTCATCATCATCATCATCAGCATCATCATCCTCATCATCATCAGTATCATAATCAGCATCGTCACCCTCATCCTCATCCTCATCATCATCATCACCATCAACAGCAGCATCATCATAAGCATCAGCATCAGCATCATCATCATCATCATCCACAGCATCAGCATCATCGCCATCAGCAGCATAATCAGTATCACCATCATCATCATCATAATCAGCATCAGCATCATCAGCATCATCATCGTACAACCAAATTCAAATTAGCATCATCAGCATCATCGGTAGCAACAGCATCAGTATCAACAGCATCAGCATCATCGTCGTCATCGTCATCGTCATCGTCATCATCAACGCCATGCCCCCCCCTCCACTACCTCCCCCTCCTTCTCCTCCTCCTCCTCCTCCTCTTCCTTCTCCTCCTCCTCCTCCTCCTCAACCTCCTCCTCCTCCTCCTGCACCTCATCGTCCTGAGGGGTGGAACCAGAGGAGGAGGAAGAGGAGGAGGAGGAGGAGGAGGAGGAGGAGGAGGAGGAGGAGGGGAGGGAAGGGGGGGGGGCAGGGGAGGAGAGGAAGAGGAGGACGACAAGGACAACGGGGCGGGCGACGGCGACAGCGCCTGCGACGACGGCGGCGACGACGGCGGCGCAGGCCTCCCTCAGGAGCGGCCCGTAGTGCTCGGGGAGCGTGAGCCCGTGCCCCAGGAAACGGAGCAGCTCGCCGAGCTCGTCCACGTGCGCCTCGCGCTCGCCCGGCGCCTCTCGCCGCGGGGGTCGGCGAGGGCGACGACGACGACGACGACGACGAGAACGACAACCACGATGGCGACGATGACGACGACGACGACGACGACGACGACGACGACGACGACGACAGCGACGACAACGACGATGTAGAACGACGACGACCACGACGACAGTGACAACGTCGTCGACGACGTCGTTCGACGACGAAAACGACGACGACGATCACGATGACGACGATGACGACGACGTTCGACGACGAAGACGACGAATATGACGGCGAAGACGACTACGACGACGACGACGACGACGTCGTTGTCGAGGAGGATGGCGAGGAGAGACGGGAGAAGGGAGGAGGGTATTTGGAAAAAGGAGGCTGCAAGAGGGAGGGCCACTGACCAAGCGTCCAGGTTTACGCTCGGGCCGACATTCGACAGTCCTTCGGGATTGATACAGAAAAAGCTGCCAGTGAGGGGCACCCTTTGCATGGGGGGAACTAAAGCACGAATCCTCTATGTTAGAGGTGGTAACAGGGCAAGCCCTGGCAGGCAGCCGATCCACACTCCTAAAACTCAGGAGCGGCGTCCCAGAAGGAGCAGCCCCTTCGGGAGTGAAGAGAACCTCAAGCGTCCCAAAGTGGGTGGGGACCCTTGCATGCACCGAGTGGTACCCCGATGGTTCAAAGGAGGAAGATGCCAAACGAGGAGCGAGGGGGCGGCGGCGGACGGGGGCATTGACGCGTGGTCTCTTGAGGCCGCTTGAGGCCTGAGCCGTCAAGTGACCGAAAAGTCAAAAAAAGACATGGCAGCCTGCGGAACGGATGTCCGCGGGAGGCCTGAGACCTGACACTCAAGACTAAAAGGCCTTGGGACAGGTGAAGTTGTGCCGTGAAGCCCTGGACTGGATGAAATGATATGGGCAATGCAAACGGTGGGAAACCATGCGCCACACTGCACAAAGACACCATGAGACGAACCGCACTGAACCCTGCTCTCTGAGAGGTCGAACGACCGCCTGGAATCCGTCAAGAAAGCGCCCAAGGCGCTCAGGGAGCGGAAGGAGAGGGTAAAAAATACTGTGAGACGACGACGACGACGACGACGACGACGACGACGACGGCGACGACGACCAGACGAGCACAGAGGGGCGAGCCCGCGCACGGCGGAAGGGCATCGTCAGCACGCAGCGGAGGTCACACCACCGCCAGAGTTCATCAGACCTCCCCAGCTCGGCCTGGGAGGGCCCGCACGCCAATTTTGGGGCCACTGGACGGACTCTCGCCGTACGGGGCGCGAAAACGACCACAGCCACTGCTTTTCTTTTGTTGCCGCCTTCCAACCCGCAGAAACAAAGCAGTGGTTGTGGTCCTGTTCGTTGCGCTTGGCACCAGGGAAATGACCACAGCCACTGTTTCTTTTCCGGCCAGCTGGAAGGCGGCGCAAACAAGAAGCAGTGGCTGTGGTCATTGTCCCGCCCCGCAGCCGGGGCCGGCGGCGTGGCACGCGCAGTGCCCAGCCTCCGACAGCAGTCTGCGCCCCGACGTCGGCTCGGAAGGCCGGGGGTGTCCCCGTGCCGTGCTGTGCCGCTGATCCGTGTCGTTGCCTCGTGCCGGCTCGGGCGGCCTAGTTTTGGGTCGGGCATGTCCCCCCACAGGCGGATGTTGGGCGAAACATTTTACAACTACTCAAGAATAGTCAAAAAAGCTCTCGAAGCAAAAATCGCTCCCGGACAATTTTTGGACTAATTATGTTTGAACGTTCCTCCTGTCGAGGGACAGGCCCGACTCAAGCCCACACCCAAAGGTTCCCTCCCGGAGCTCGTGGGGCTGTGTGGCTGGGCGGCCCAGGGTGAGGGGGCGGTGGCCGCTGTCGGGGGGCCGTGCAGGGTGTGGCAGCAGGAGAGGGGACATAACGTTTTGCCTTGAGCCAGATGTGGCACGGACGCACACAAGATAGATCTCGATCCATCAGTCCCCAGGGTGAAACACCAAAAGCTAAACCTACACGTGAGATAATGGACCCCTGGAACATGGGTCCGACCTTCTCTAGGTTTAGCTGTCCCGAAATTCACTTCACAAGTCTGTGTCCACTGCCTGGCAGTGTCAAAAGCGACCTGCAAATACTAAACGCACGCAGCAGCAAGGGAAACTACAAAAAAACAGAGGCAAAACTAGAGAGCAGATCATGGGAAGGCGGATTCGGAGGATAATGAAGACGAAGGGAGGGAGGAGGAGGACGGGAGGATACCACCACCACCACCAACCAGGCCAGGAGGAGTCCTCTGGTCCAGGTAGTCCAGCCAGGTGATCCAGTCGGGCTCCGACAGCATTCTTCGGGAGGCCGACTGAGAACGATCCTTCAGCTCGGGGGTGTCCTTCCGACGACTAACTTCCTGATCTTCGTCCACCAGACTGAGCTTGCCGTGGGTCATGAGATCAAACAATGCAGCATTGCACTTCGTCACGTCGTCCTTGGTCAAAGCGGCCACGGGCATGCGGCCATGGGGAATCCACCGTATTCGACCCCTAGCTCCTCTAGGGATTCACATAGAATGGCCAAATCGAATGCGGTACGTCTATCGCGGGCCGACGCATTCCCTTCCTTCTGAAAGGTGTCGTATAACTTATAGATTTGGCATCAACCACGTGGACCTGTTGTTCCCTGGAGCCCGAACTACAATCACGTCTTAAGACCGTAGTGAAGGGCCCTGAGGCCCGCACACAATCAGGCAGATCGACATCCCTGAACACAACGTCCCGGTACAACACTTGAAGATATTCGACCTCCGCCACCGCGGCCGAGAGAGCTTGAGTCTCTCCGGCCAGCGTCGACGGCACCTTACGCCGTAGCTTACTGCTATGCTAACCAAGCACGGACGCTCTCACCACCTGGTTGTCCAGAGCAGATTTGTCTGCGGCTAACACCATCCAGGCCCCCTGGGTGGGGTCAGCTGGAAGACCGCTGTCGTCCTGGAGGGGCTCTGCAGATCCAACGCCGCCCGCGCCCGAAAAGGAGATGAAAGACATACGCTCCGGGTCGAACTGCCAAACCGTCAGCCCTCGAGAGGCTGTTGCTCGCAAATGCTTCACTAACTTGTTGGCACACGACACGTCCGACACTGTAGGAGCCCTCAACCGACTGGCCAGAATGCTTGCTACTCCAGCCGCTTCTGGCCGTCATTCTCGGCCAACCCAATTGAACTTATAGACCAGAGAACGCAAGGCGTTGAACTCAGACGGCTCCAGAGGAGAACTCTTGACTGACAATCGGCCCCGGGCCAGGGTCAGGGGACGGATCTCTTCCAGGATGTACTTTTGCTGGTCATTAACGGCCTTGCCGGGGAAGAAAGAAACTCGCCTGCCGGCGAAATCTACTGGGCCCGCGTGACAATCTCGATACTTCCCGAAACGGAAACGGTCCTCCAGGACATGGCGAATCCACGCTCGGGCATCCGCGCCCACGCTGCCAATGAAAAAATCATCGACTTCCAGCAACATCACGTTCTGGATGGCCCCATCTGCTCGATACTTCAGCCACCAGCAAGGTTCCAACAAACTCCTTTTCGAATCCATGCTTCTCCAAATGGCCAACCACAGTCCGACGCCAGGCCACAGGGGCGCCGTCAAGACCGTAGACATTCACCAACAAAAGGATAAGGGAGCCAGGCTCAACATCGATACCCTCGCAGGGTTCAACATAGATTTGGCCCTGGGACCTTGTCATTGGGTCTGATTGGGTGAAGGCGTTCTTAACGTCCGCAATGTCACCGAGCATCCGGAAATTGACCAATACCTGCATGAACATCATAATGGATGAGGTCTGGGGAGTGGGGGCGCACACAGCCGAGGAACCAGAGTCTGGGTCTTTATGACCGTGCACACACCACCTGGACCTCGCCTCAGGTTCCGCGAACGTTCCTTCCACTGGCTTCCATCTGCGCACCATTCGGCTGGATATGATCCCATCTGGACAGCGTCTCCGGATCTTCGCCGCCTGGCTCGGAGAGATGACTCGGACACCCCCGGATTGCAGCATGGCCCTTCCACCCCTTGCTATCCGAAGCCTGAAACTTCTGGCGCCCCTGGGGCTTGAGCTTCTTGAGAGTCACTTCTCCCCCACGGCTGGCCGCAAAGGTGCCGCTGCCCTGAAAACTTTCGCACGCAACTCCAACGAAACCCTCGACATCCCCGGGGGCGGCGGACAGCCCGTCGATCGGCCCCGAGGCCACGAAGAAGTCGCTGGCGGCTTCTGCCTCGACTGCCTCGACCATTCCCTCGAACTCTCTATTGCGACTGGGCGAACGAGACCTGGCTCGTGCCTCTATGGCCTGGACACGCTCCTGGACGGACTGCCTCGGCTCATCTCCGGCCCTGACAGGCCCCCGGGCCTCCTGGCCAGGTCCGGGACCCTCACCGCCGGAGGAGGAGGCAGCACCATCGACAGGATGAGGAGGGGAGAAACCCGAGGAAGAGTCAGGAGGAGAGGAGGCCCCAGCCTCGAGGGCCCTGGCCCTCTTGAGCTCGGGTGGGGCGCCCCCTGCCCTCGCAGCTCGGATGCAGGCTGGAACGTCCTCTGGCTGCGTCAGCCGCCCTCGTCTTGGGCCTCGCCCCCCCCGGTGGAGATGGAGTGACAGGGGGAAGAGGACTAGGAGTCACAGGCAAGGGAGAGGGAACAGGAGCGGGCAGAGCAGCAGAGACAGGAGGAGACAAAGGGTGGAGGGGCTCTGGCTCAACGTCCGCAGATCCTGAGCTAACCCCTCGGGACAGCTGTTGACTGGGCGACGGCGTCACTGAATCCCCTCTGTCGGAGGGCGCTAACTCGGAGATGGTTGGCAGGCCGGCCCTGTCCGAGCCTGGGTCGATCCTCCGGTCTCGGTTCTTCGGCTGATGTCGGCCCAGGCCCAGGGACCCTTGGTTCCGAATCGAGCTCGGCCCGTGCCGCCTCGTTCCAAGCGCTCTCGGGAGGCGGCCCTTCACGCTGGACATCCACGGCGGTCACCCGCCTCGCCTGAGCAGA